CTTAAAATCTTAATTACTTATATATTTCTCAACTTTTCTATTTTAAATTTGTAATTAATATGATTTTTCAACTCACTCCTATCATATAAAAATTAAAATGGTTGGTAGTTAATATTTATTCAACATATTTAGGAATTACTATTTTTAAAGTACCACGATACATATTGCATTTTATTCAAATAAGAGAGCAGACATAATTATGGGCCAGTGATACCTGTAATTTTGGGCTCAGTTGATCCCCGAAAAGCCATCTCTTGGGCCTGGTTTGCAACAAGGCTTTAATTATCAATCTTTGATTGGGCCAGCCTTACGCTCGTGGCAAGGAGCTTCTTTTTGTGATTGTATTCTCACGTCATTGTTTGCTAAATAAAAAAATAGGTGAGTATTTTGTTCTGCTTTTTCTTTTATTTCATGTACATTATTATACATGCTATAAGAAAGTTTTTTTGTTTTTTTATTTGCACAAGTTAAATTATTCTTAAATGTAGTTTTTATAAGATAAACTTATTATTACATTATTAAAATTAAATTTTTCCTAAAAGAGGTTATTAATGCTAAACCATTTTGAATTCACTTCTTATCTCGTAAAATATATAAGTCATAACAATTTTATAATATCAAACTTTTCTAAATTATAAAAGAAAGGTTATTAGCGATAAAAGTATTTAAAATAACTTCTTTGATTATTTTGAGAACATTTTTTTAAACCCTTCATATTGAAAACTTAGGAATAAAATATGTGATTCTTTTTGTAGTTATAAAAGAGTTAATTTAAAAAATCCCGTTCAAAAGTTCTATAAATATTATGTAACTTTGATTTATGATTGTACTAAAGAATACATATGAGCAAGAAAATACTTTGTAGAGTCTAAAAGAATGTTTTTATTTATTTTCTTATTTTAAAGATAATAAATTTTGTTCTTTTCAATATATTGTATGATAAATAAAACTATTTTAAAATATTATTTTTTTACGTAAAAATACACCTAATAAATTTGTTTTTATTCATTGATTAATAGTTCATTCTTTATTTTGATTATTTATATGGATTGAATTTAACAAATCACATTAAAATAAATGATAATCCATTCAATAGAAAGAATATTAGAGGTTTACTGTTTTTAATAGGCTTTTCAATTTTTAGTATTTTCTTTACTTTTTTTAATTAGATTCGTTAATTTTTTTCAATTAGATTTTACAATACAAAAATAAACCAATCCCTCTTTTTTTAATTCTTTTGTTATTAAAAGTTAAGTCTATATCAATATTTATCGAGAATATGATTTAAGTTTCATCTTAATTATTACATTTTTTTCATATTTAAAATGGTTTGATTCATGTAGAAAACACGATATGATTAACAATTAAAAATATATTTGTAATAATATATAAAGATCAAATTTAATAAGATATATGTTTGTAATAATATGAAATACATTTTTTTAAAATAATTATAAAAAACACAATAAATAAGGGAAAGGTTAGAAAAATTTTAAGTTTGGTTTATATTTAACGAGGAGTTGAATCCTGTTCGACTCAAAATATTTGGTGTAGAATATTAAATTTTCGTTCTAATCTCAAGAATAAAGTGTTTTATGGGTCAAAAGTTAATATGTTTTGAGCTACTTTAAAAAATAATTTAAAAGAAAAAACCTTTCCACACGAGTTTTATGGACATAAAAGAAAAAAAATGACAGCAATCAACACCACGGAATTAAGTCGAACACGCAAGTAATAAAATAAAATTGACTTATTAAAAATTAAAATCAGTTTACAAATAAACTAAATCAAAGAAAATTTCTTATCGAGTTTTTTAACTTTTAATTTTTAATTTGTAGATAAACTAATTTTAATTTAAAAAACAGTTAATTTAATTTTTATTTATAATTTTTTTAAGTCTTGAAAAAGAAGTTCGTTATTACTTGATCTCTCAGACAGAATTTCCTGGAAGTTGACTATTGTTTTGCTTTGTAAAAGTAGGGAGACATAAAGCACTGAGTTTGTAACATGCCTAGGTTTGATGCTGTTCTTGTCTTCCCAAAAAGCAAGTGTGAGTATAAGCAAAATTCACTTTCTCAATTTGCTATCTTCCATGATACAGCACCCATGAATTTCCCAGAAGTTGACTATATTCATTTTCCAAAGGTTTTCATGGCTTCACTACTTAGCATTTTCTTCCTTGCATGTGTTGTTAACTTTGTTTTAGCCAATAGGAACCATTTGACAAATCACAATTAAATTTCACTCACAATTTTGTATATTATTTTCTATCTCCTTCGTGTTAGTGTTGTAGCTTTTCTACAATGACTTTGCATAACATAACATTTATCCTTTTAATGGTTTAAAAAATTGTTTTTTTAAGATTTTATTAAAACAATATATATATTATGATCCTTTAAAGAATTATTTATTTGTATTGACCTAAATGGATCTATAGTGACTTCTACTTTTTATATTTCTCTTGAGGACAACCCAAAATCACTTATGGGGAATTAATCAGTTTTCGTTATGCCAAACATCAGTTGGAAACTTCCTGAAATTTATGATACCTTTCGAGATTCCTTGTTAAATTGCCATCATTTTATTTTTACTTTTATTCCATATTTTAAAAATTGTATAAACATAGTAAAAATGAGAATCAAATGATATTATTATATTTATCAGTAATAACATTTTTTTTTCATAAAACCATCATAAAGCATTTGCATAAACCAAGAACTGTACAAGAAAGGTTTTGATATGAAAACAATTAATTACATGAAACACGTGTTTATATTTCAACTTGTTTAAGTCATTTATATAACCTTGAAAACCTTTTCCTTTTGTTATTAATTAACATGCTACCTTTGTCAATTATATTTATGGAATTTGAAGTACTTATATGTTGTACAATGATGATATTTTGTTACATAAAATGATCGTACTAATGGAGTTAGCTTTACATATACAAAGTTAAAACCTTTTTTAACATATTATGTTTTTAAACAAATTATTACGAATTCTAATTATATTTATCTCTAGGTTTGATTCTTATTAATGATTTTTTTATTGGGTTTTAATTTTAATGATGATTTTGCTTTCTAAGTGTACTTTGTTTCTTTTAACGAATAGAGTTATCCTCTGGCTGATAATACTATTTTATCTATGATTAGGGTCTTCTTTGTGCATTATGTCCTAACCTAACCACTAAATGCGTTCATTCTTTATAATAATTTTTTAGTTTATTGATTGAGAACTGATTACTTTTCAATTTGCATTATATATAATTATATACGGGTGGTCAAAATTAATTTGATATTGGTCATCATCATATAATTTTTCAAAAAATTATATGTATTTATCTTCTTATTTAACTATAAATGTAAATGAGATTAAATTGTTCTAATTTTTTTATTAACGTTTAATAGTTACGTAACATCAATTTCAAACAATTTTATATTTTCAACCAATAAGAAATCTTAGTATAACTTTGAAATGATTGTTATCGTTAAAGTCGTGATTTTCATAAATTAAGTATTAATTTTCGGCTGTAAATAAGAGAAATAAACTTTCGAAATAGCTTTCGTTGTATCTCTAATCAGAGTTTGGAGTTTGATGATTGGAATTGTTAAATTATCCTATGATAAGAAAATAATACGTTGAGAACCCATTGTTTCCCATATAACCCGTAGTTAACACATTATATAATATAATAATGATTATAATATTATTTGAAATATTATAATGATTATTATATTATATAATAGATTGTGAATGGATTATATTAGAAATAACCTTATCAGCATATACCTTTATGGGAATGGAGAAAAGTATGAATTGTTCCCACTCGAAATAACATGCATGAGCCGAACTTGAATATTCAAGCTTTTTCAAGTGTTGAATATGACTTCCACCACCTCAACTTAACGTGCCATTAGCGAAGTCAGAGGTAGAACAACCTATAAACACTCTTTATCCTCTCACACTGTATATGTTTTCAAACTTAGGCCACACGACAGGAACAGAGAAAAAGAATATATACAAACCAAACATCATGCAGTAACCTAGAAAAACTCATTATTATTAAAAAAAAAGGCACTTGATATAAAAAAATCTGGCCTTGTTGCTTCCAAACACTGGAAAATCACTACCACATTTCGTGCCAGTATTGTTTGCCTCTTTGTTGAATACCAGTGGATTTAATAGAGGTGCAAATGTGATGCGCTCATTCTTTTATTTAGTTCCATGGATGTGTACCTATTTTCACTGTTTATCACTGTTCACAATGGAATATATAGGTTCATGGCTAGAAACATGTCCACTTAACCTTCACTTGGATTAGTGTGCCAGGTTGGGTTTTTCCACCGTGCCCAACATTTTTGTGTCATATTCCACTTTCCATTCTGTGCTCTTCAACTTTTTGCTGTCATTTTGACTTATTTATATATATATATATATATATATATATATATATATATATATGTATGTATATGTATATATATCTAATTTCATTATGTCCTCCAAAAAATAGAATTCAGGACCCCAGCAATATTACCTGATGAAAGGTTTCCAAAGAGTGGACGGGTATGTTGATCTTCCAAGAAATGATGGCCTTTTTTGAATTTGGCAATATTCATTACCCCATCCATCCATCATATATGCACTTTAGATACTTAAAAAAAAAAATAGAAAAATGATAATTTGACAATCCAATTTTATACCACTTTAATAAACAACCCACTTTTAATATTATAATAATAATTTTAACTTGTTTTTATTTTTATTTAATCTGTTTCATAATTATTATATTAATAAAATGGGTTGTTTTTTGAGTTGTTTGTTGTTAAAGGTGTCAACATATAATGAACCAAAAAAGTATTCTACAAAATCCATAATCTACATGTATAAATTGAGAGCTTTGTGTGTGAGAAGTAACACAAAACAAAAGGGCTTCTTGCTGAGTTATCTATTTCTACTACACAAGAATGAAGGGCAACACTCTCTTTCACCTCCTGTTTGTGATGATCCTTTTAGGACTCTCCCATTTTTTATTCCTTGAAGCAGTCCCAATTACAAGTAAATTCTGCTACCATGTTTCCAATTTTATTCCTTTAAAGATGTAGTTCTTGTTTGTTCCTCATCTTCTTAACTGTTCTTTATAAACAGGAACTGAAAGGCTTATGCAAGATCCCAAAGTTCTGCATGTTGCACCGGAGAATGTCCACAACCACCAGGTAATAAAAAGTTTATATATATCCTAAGTATTAAAGGTTACAATTACCACAAAATCACAAGCACAACCACAATTTAAAAGCTTATGGTCCATGTGTGTATGAATGTACAGGTTATCAGTGGTATAAAGTGGCACTGGGAGGAGCCAACTATTGCTGAGAGGATGGAGATGGAGCTCCATGATTACCCTCCATCTGGGGCTAATGGTCGTCACACTCCAAAACCACCATATCCATAATACGTGTACGAATTTGCGTGTTTATCATTAGCACCCTATGAAGCATAATATGATCTTATAATGTGGAAGTAGTGTAAGAAACATATTGCTTAACGATATATTGCTCTTTAAGTAGACATGATTAGTGAATTCCAGAAGCAAGTATATATATGATGTGAAAGAGAAAGAGTCAAGAAAACTGAATTCAAGTATTATGATCAATGTGAAAGCTTAGATCCTTGTGTTTGTTAATTAATAATTATTAAAGTGATTCTTATTAATTTATCAACGTGAACTTGGATTTCTAATTTCACTTTAATCGCTCATTTGAAAACTCATACAATTGTCGGTGTCAGAGAGCCACTCCGACACTTACTTTAGCTATACATTTGAGAATTAAAAACATACAGGGAGTTGCAGCAACTCACGGATCTTCTAGTGAATTAGATTTCTTATCTTTTTTTTTTCGGATTTAACGATTTAAAATAACAATGGATCCTTTATTAAAATAGTATAAGTTTCCAACATGATAAAAGGAGCCTACACTTTTCTCTTCAATTTTTATTTTCTAATATTTATTCACTTAAGTTCTTTCATTTTCACTTTCTAATTGTTAATTCTTAACTATTTCTCTTGTATCAAATTCTATATTTAAAAACTATAAAGTTAAACTAAGATAACATACGCATGTATACTGTCATAATTAAGTTCTTAGTAAATCACTAATTTTTCTCACTTCAAATAATCACATCCTCTATTAATTTTACTTGTTGAAAACTTACCAGACAAAATTAACAGTTAATATGACTATTCTCTTCATCTTGTAACACGGAACTTGGAATATTCCAAACGTTATATACAATCGAAATACATACAATAAAAACATAAATGTATATATAACCATTTAACTCCATTAGCAATGTCTCAGTCAATTAAATGTCTCATTTCACTGATATTGCCAAAAATATTATGGATGAAACTGAAAAGTAGCTAAAGTTTTCTTTACTTTTTAAATAATAAAATGATAAGTAAGGAACTAGGGAAAGATTATGTTGTAGGCGTCAATATACATTGAGCTAATAATTAAGAATGTGTGTCTTTTGTCTTCATTTTTTTAGTTCGTATATATGAATGTGGGTTTACCTATTAATTACTTGCTTTAAATAATAAGCGATATGTCAAATTCTGGTTGAAGAAAACCTTTACAGCCAAATAATGTACAATACATTTAATATTAAAAGTTATGATGACTTTTTGACATTTCAGGACTGTGCCCTAATTTTTTAGGTACAAAGAAGGACAAAGATAGGAAAAAATTAAAAGTAAAAATATAGATATAATAAATCATGTGGTAGAAAAGGAAAAAAAAGAAAAAGTGTGTAAATTAATATAACTAGTTAATTACCTTGCTTCCATGTCACATCAAATGTTACAGATAGATTAATCTCAAACATGCGATTCAACCAGTGACTGCGCAGTTTAAATGATAGATTATAAAGTGAAAATAATTCTTCTAAAGTGACGTGTATACCGAGTAATATATATATATATATATATATATATATATATATATATATATATATATATATATATATAGAAGAGAAAAAGATATATTTAAAATTTTATTTATGAATAAATTAAAACATTTGTTCCATTTTAATAACAATTAAGAAAACATTTTTTTCTGAAGCTATAGAATATAAATCCACTAAGAAAATTATATTAACTGGCTGCATATTATTTTAAACAAATTAAATAATAACTAAAGTATTTTATATTTTTAAAATGTCAATTATAAAAGAATAATAAGAATAATTAATAACTTTTACATAAAAAATTACCCAAAAAAACTGACTATGCTGAACTTAATGTTGAATAGTTGAGTTTAATCATTTGACAAAAATAATCTAACAGACAAAACTCTAAGAAACTAATTTAGAATGTAAATCAAATAATTAACAACTAAGAGGTTTAAGTAATAAAGTTTTCTATTTTAAGAAGATGTGACAGTTATTGGGACAACAATTTTCACATGTCATTTTGGTTGCACTCTTTCTCCTTTATTTAATGAGTAGTTGAATAACCAAAGGTTAACACATGAAGTTGTCTATTACACGTGGCAATAAACGGACAAATAGTTTTTTTTTATTGACAAATAGGCTTTCTAGCACTTCTTTTGCGTAGAAAGATCCGAAGATATATAAAAATGAAAAATCATTTGTTGGTGCATCCATAACTAATTTCGCAGGAAGTGTGTTGGAACGAATCAAATTTTTTTATTTGTGGTAATCATATGAGTTGGCCACTGAAAAGCCTTGAGAAATATCTGATATTTGGTAATAATATACTAACGTGCTTTTGTGTTGGGTGGAGACAGTGAAATGTAAAGTGGTGGGAATAGAGTTTTTGTCTTTGCTTTTTCAATGGTATTTTAATATTAATTGTTGCGTATGAAGTAAGAAGCTACGGGGATTCTCTTATTAATGAAAATAGGATGAAACTGGTTGTTTCTGAATATGGATATAGATATATTGCATGAAAAAACAATGATGCATGTATAAAATTATGAGTCATGAACACAGTGGCACACCTGTAACCATGTAATAGCAACACCTCTTTCAGAAATGAGATTATAATTTAAACATTTGTGATCTCTTTGCACTCAATAATAACATATATATGTGGGATTCATTATAAAACAGATTCACGTTGCGGATGCTTACTCATTTAAATAATTATCAAAACAATAGTGTTGTGGACATTAGGCTGGCAGATAAAACAGTTATAATGATCGAAAAATTTAGTCGAGTCAAAAAATAAGTCGCTAATAAGTTAACGACTAAAATTAGTGATTAAAATAAAGGTTAAGTCGCTAATATGTTAGAGATCAATTTTCATTTCAGTTGTAAAAATAACAATCTATAAGATGATCGTTAAATAATTTGGTCGTTTATTCCTTAAATACCTAAATAGGAACTGAAATTGTGACATTTTTTTCTTCTTATTATTATTTGTATAAGAGTAACAGGTAAAAAAATATTATATATATGTAAAAGTAATTTACATCCCTATATATATATATATATATATATATATATATATATACACACACACATATATATATATATATATATATATATATACACACATATATATATAAGATATACAAAAGAAGAAGGAATTTTATTTTTGATTTCTTCTATTTTTTCTACAATTTTATAAATATCTACATTACCGGTAGAAACAAACTGATTAAGGGGTTTTGGAAAAAGGTAGGAGACATACAAAAGGTGACTAATGGTACATCTAACATAATGATATTTCCCATATCAGATACAAATGTTATTATTGATAATCCTGTCCCCCTAAAAGTAATTGAGTTGTCTATAACGTTCGTGTTCCTAGGAAGAAGACAGTGATGCTTGCAGAAAAGGAATTTGGAATATTTGGCGCCTCCATCTACTTAAGTTGGTGTTTAAATAAAACATGCACAAAAGGTAGGAGACATACAAAAGGTGACTAATGGTACATCTAACATAATGAGATTTCCCATATCAGATACAAATGTTATTATTGATAATCCTGTCCCCCTAAAAGTAATTGAGTTGTCTATAACGTTCGTGTTCCTGGGAAGAAGACAGTGACGCTTGTAGAAAAGGAATTTGGAATATTTGACGCCTCCATCTACTTAAGTTGGTGTTTAAATAAAACATGCACAAAAGATCACAATAGGGAGTGAGAACATTTATCATTTACAATAATACAATATTACAATAATACATTTATCTCAACACATTCTATTTTATGAAGATTTAAATTAAATTTGTAGTGACTAGTTAGGATAAATGAGCCAAATTTTAATCACTCTCACAGTGATATTTACTCATTTAAATCCCCAATGTCCAACCTTCATCTACAATATCATCAAATCTTCACAAATAGATATTATTATAATTGAATAATATAACTATAAATTAATAAATAGGATCGTTGCATTACTAGAGATAAAATAAAGTAAACAAACATGACCAATACATAACTTAAGATAATTAAAATATGACCAGTGCAAGACTGAAGATAAAATAAAATAAACAAACAGGACCAGTACATAACTGAAGATAATTAAAATAGGACCAGTGCAAGACTAAAGATAAAATAAAATAAACAAACAGACCAGTACATAACTGGAGATAATTAAAATAGGACCAGTGCAAGACTGAAGATAAAATAAAATAAACAAACAGGACCAGTACATAACTGGAGATAATTAAAATAGGATCAGTACAATACTGAAGATAAAATAAAATAAACAAACAGAACCAGTACATAACTGGAGATAATTAAAATAGGATCAATGCAAGACTGGAGATAAAATAAAATAAACAAGCATAAGGCAGGACCATTACGTAGTTAGAGATAAAAAAATAACTAAATAAATAGGATGAGGTTAGGGACACCTCACTCCACAACTATAAGCAAAATAAAATAGATTTAATGATAATATTCTCCTCCTCTACCTTAAGAACTACAGATGATGTACCAAAATTTTGCTGAGACAATTTTTTTTCTCTCTTTCTCTTCCTCCCTCTCTCTTTCTTTCTCTTTCTATTTCTCTCTCCTTCTTTCTCTCTTTCTCTTTCTATTTCTCTCTCCTTCTTTCTCTTTCTATTTCTCTCTCCTACTTCTCTTTCTCCCTACGGATCTTCCCCCTTTCCCTTTTTATAGCAAATTTTTTCTTTTTTATTTATTTAATTACGTAATCATAAATGCATTAATTATGATTTTGATAAGGTTTATCTTTTAAGATAAGATAATGTTTATTTTTTACATTAATTTGAGATGTTACATTTCTCCCATACTTACATAAATTTCTTCCTCGAAATTTTTAGCGACTAAAATAGATGAGGATAACTTTCTTTGATTCTCTTTTCTAATTCCCACGTAGCATCTTTAGTAATTTCATTCAAAACAACTTTTACTAGTGGAATTTGTCTTCCCCTCAGTTGTTTGATCTTCATATC